TTGTTTACAATACAACCGGAGCACATGCCGCTGAGGTGAGGGGCGGGAACATTAGACGTGCACTAGAGACTGTTTAGCCAATCACAACACACTGGGCTAGCTAACCAATCAGAGCCCATCGCCTATTTCGGAGGGCAGGGCTTCATAAAAGCAGGAAATGATCAGCGCGTTTCTCAGAGAAGGGACAGTGCGGTGTGGAATAAAGGTAAATTATGTGAAAAATAATGCGTTTTTTAAAAAACGAAGCATTAACACATGTTAGACTGCACCCCATAAACACAATCAAGCCTAGAAAAAACAACAACAACAGTGAACCACCCCTTTAAGCAGATCAAATGTTTCTAGCCTCTTTAGGTTTGAGAGGGTCCTCTGGTGACTTAAAACAGAAATGTCAAAAGCCTATGACTCCTCTCCTCTCCTCTTCTATGCCATTCTATTTTAATCTCTGCAGCATGTAGCAGGTCAAAAGGTGTGGAGATCAATCTGCATGATTTGACTCAAAACATTTTGCATGACTACGTGCAGTTCAGAATTTTTGTTTTGCTCTTTTCACAGTTTTGCTTGAATGTCAGTTTAAAGCCAGTGTTGATTCCTCTCTTACTCGATTCGATAAAGGCCAAAGTTAAGATCTGAATGGCCATTTGAAGGCCGCATAAGTATTTTTGCTGCTGTTTCACTGACGAACTACTGGGCCTTAGCTTTAACCAGCTTAAGCAGTACTATTTGTGAGTCTCTCTGCACAATGTCTGTCTCTGACTGGCTACTATTTCTGCTGGTGAAACTTCTCCAGGGTTAAAACCCTAATGCTACGGCAAGGAGCTTATCGTTTGCCTCTCTCCCAGGCTCAATCCCTTTCTCCTAACTCTTAAGACTGCAGCCTGCAAGCACACACCTGATACAAACATCTTTTGAAAGGTAAATTTAAATAAATTGATTTTGCATTATAGTGTAAATCTGGAAAATGCTATGAGTGTTTACAGGTGACTATGAAACAAAAGCATGTCCTTTTACTGCTCTGTTTAGGTAAATAGATTGAGTTAGTGACTGAGTGTATTTGAATGCAGTCAAATATAGAACATTACTGTACTCTGGTAACATTACAATTTCTGTTATTGGTTGCAATTGTCATTGAAAGATTAATTGATGAGCATTAATTGGCCTACGTATTTTCATTTACAAAACTAAACATTTGTACTTTGAATTTTGAGTATTTGTATTTAATTATTTATTAGTTGGTATTGCATGGACTCAACATTTCCTACTAGTTCATAACACTTGGATAAAACACTGACACCAAGATAATAAATGTTTTGTTTACCATTTTGTGCTCATTTTAACAGCTACTTTTTTGTCTGTATAAATGCACAAACCATGGCAAAAAAAAAAATAAACATTTAAAAACCCATGAAAAGGTTTGACAAGATTTCTTCCCGGTGTTTATGCATTTTCTGTTGAAACGGGACATTTGGTCAGGGCGTATCAGAGAGTGTCTTTTTTCAAATAGTCTTTTTTCAAATAGTGTTACATTCATGATTTGTGTGGTCTTTCAGTGTGTGTGGATTTTGGCTATTGTGAATACACTTTTTTTCCCCCCTCCTCATGTGTTCAGGTCCAGCCTCAACCAGACGCAAAGATGTGCGACCAGACGTTTTTGGCCATCACGTTTGGCCCGTGTGATAACTGCAGTCAGAACAAACCTCTGATGAATATTTATCTGAAGAATGAGCCCATCAACTACTGCTCCCTGTGTGTGGAGCTGGTATGTTATCCCACACTTTAGCTGCTTCAGGATCAGTTCAACGACACAATGTGTATTTTAAGGCTTTAATCTCTCAGGACATGATTTCTGTCCATCAAATCAGCCATAACTGTTTTAATTACTTATTTAGTGTTTTAAAGAAAAAAGTATCCAAACTGATAACATTACATGAATACTTCTGAGTATAGATATATAACAAAAACACTCATGAAATATCACCTTATACCACACACAGACCTCAACATTTTTTTGTTTTGTGTGGTCTGAAAGATCATGAAACACAGCAATTATATTTTTAAGTATAGAACCAAGCACATCCTGCCATCACAAGACAGTAAGTACTAAAAGTGATACCAAAATCAACAACAACAATGTAAATGAAAATAAGAAGAGTATGATTTGGGACAGAAACACATAATTTAGGCCTATTTGAATAATAAAAAAGCATTTTGCAAACTTTTTGGATGGTTTTAAAAGTCATTGTTTGTTTTAAGAAAGTGCATCGATATGCATTAGCCAACTGCTGCTGTTTTCTCACCACGTTTATGGAATGTAAATGCTCTTAATAATCTTGATTTATTTTATCTGAACATTAAAATTTGTGAGATTCATCCACCTGGACAGTTTTGAGGTTAAATTATTATTATTATTTTTTTTTGATTTGATTTTTTCCTGTCTTTTCATTTGATAATACTGATCTGTGAATTTATTTTATGTTGTATTTTATTATTTTTATTATTATTATTTGTTAATGGGGGATTTGTGGATGCAAATTAATTGTAAGAATTATAGTAACTTGCTGTTTTTTGTTTTGAAAGTAAATCTCGAAGCAAATGTTTTATTGCTTCAGTATTATTTATTTCATCTTTAAGAATTTTATATAGTTAAATTGTCACTTATTAAAAACTGTTACACTGACTAACGGTAATATTTCTGTCCTGTTGATTTAATGGCTCAGAGTTTTGTCTCAGAGGTGTCAGATACTGCAAACCACATCCTCGTGTTATCACGTGTAACGTGCTTTATCTGTGAGCTTTCTGAAAACACATTTAGGCTCTTAGAGAACAGCACTCTTACTTAGTACTTACTTGTACTTGTATTGTAGTCACAAAAGTTACCAATGAAATACCAATCAATTTACAAACAGCGAACGCAATAAATTAATTAGAAGTTAGACTACATCAAATTTGCAACTGACAGTTTAAATGTAAAAAATATGATGGAAGCTACAAGATTTAGAAACGGATTTTAAAGAGTGAATGAAATGATATAAATCGGATATAAATGTGATTTTGGGCTTCAGGCAGTGAGCTCCAGAAATAAATGTGATGCTGATGGTGGTGATGTGTCACGTGACGCCTGCGCAGAGCATCATCAGCTGTGCAGACTGTGCTGTATCAGTCTCGGCTCATAATAAAGAGCATATTTATTGACATATCCGTCATCCATCTGTGTTTTCTTAAAGATGGCCTGTCAGGGACTAGCGAAGGGGGAAACCATCCACACGCTGAAAACGGAGTCTGAGACTTTGAAAGCCAAACTAGAAGAGGAGAGAGCTAAACTACACGACGTCGAACGTGAGTAAAACACTCAGCGGCTGTGTGTCAAAACCCAGCGAGCTGCCTAGCTAGACTGCATTCATGCACATCACAGCTAATGCGCGGGATGCGCAAATATACCGTATATTTAGGCAGCTCGATTTGAAATACACCAATATCTGCCAAACACCAGCTAAATGTTAGACATTAATTAATTTCTTCTATGTCCATATGATCTGTCCATACAATAATGTGGACGGTTTAATATATTACGAGAACCAGGATATAAATCTTTACGTAGAGATTTAAATTTAAATATAACCTTTACATTTTGGTAACTACGATTCAGGCCTGTATGCTATAAATATAACGTTTGAGATATTCAGAATTGTTTTAAAAAAGGGCATGGATTTTTGGAACTGTTGCCCTGTCTTTTAGAAGTTTGTGGCAGAATTTAGTGCAAAGTCATACAAAAAAAATGTCTTATAGGATTCTATACAATTGACTAAGTCTGCATTAAAGAAAATTGTTGTATTTATACACATTAACTGTTATAGTTTCCTGCAGTACTATGCTGGCACTCAACATGCTTTTTTTTTACTACTGGATTTATGGTTGTTTTGTCATGTTTGGAGTTGACTGTCTGTGTTTTGTATGCTATGTTTATGTCTGTGCATATTTACAGTAAATGGCTGTTCATAACAGCCTTTTGAGATAGTATGATGCTGGCAAATATTTTAAAGACCTGATTATGTTTCAGTTGTAAACTATTATAAACATTCTGTTTAAAACTCCTTGATACAACAAAACTGAAAAATTTGAAAAATTGAAAAATATTTTAATCTCTGAATTGATTAGTGGTAGTATATGTCTTTACTTGGAATATTCTTGCACTGATTAGGAAAACATTTTTTTTTTTCAATATAAAGGTACAAGTTCCCAACTAAGTAGAAAACAAATAATCATAGTGATGATGATTTCAAATGAGCAAATTCAAAGTATGTGTTTTTCTGGCAAACTCGACCCATGACATCATGCTCTGCCAGTTGAACTACAGGAACACTCAATATGATCCCCAATATGTTTGTCCAGGTGAAATTTTTCAGGAACAAAGGGTTATTGGCCTGTATTCATAAAATTACAGTATGATGTTATTGTTTAACTAAGATTTCTGGGGACTGATTTGTTTTGTTTCTGTCACAACAGTTTAATATAAGGAACTACGATGTGGATTGAATTTATAAAGGATGTGAGAATATATTATAACACATTTTATGAATGTCATCTGTACACCAAGACAACAATACTCACCATACAAAATGCAACAATGGTGATAATACTATTTTTAGATTACAATTAAAAAAACTAAACAATGCATCAGTGTAATTTATTCATGCTGCAATGCATGCTGGATGCCATCAAAGTACAATTTTACTATTGAAATAGAGGATGATGTTGTTTGTTTACAGTAATACAAGTACTGTATCTTGCTGATGCTAAGATGAGTTTTAGGAAACGTGCTGGCAATGTGGTTAATGGAGATTTGTTTTTCTGACTTCAGTGCATCAAGTGGCAGAGAAGATAGAGGTTCTGGGTCAATTTGTCATATATATATATATTAATAATGTGATGTGTTGTCTGCAAGAGTTAGAAGCTGCAGTATATCAGTTATCCACAATCTTTATAATATTTATTGAGTGACGCCTTTGTGCTCCTTCACAACAAGACAAAAAGTCAGTATCCAAAACCTCTCTGTTCCTCTCTGGTGGAATGAGCTGCCAATCTCCACCTGAACTGGGAAGACAATCACATCTTCAAAAAGCATTTGAAAACACACCTATTCCACAAGCACTTAAACACCCCACATTCTTAAACCAATGCACTAACACACACACACACCCTCCCCTTTACATTTCTTCTCTTCTCTAGCTTGCTTCTTAATCTAGTTGTCTAATAAACCTGGCATTGGCTATTACGAATTTTGTTGGCCCCTTGACGAATTGCTTTGTTCCTCATATTTGTAAGTCACTTTAAATAGAAATGTCTGCTAAATGACTTTCTTTAAAAAAAAAAAAATTACTGAAACATTGAATCTCTCCTATAGGATGGAAAAGTCATTGTGTGGGATGCATATACAACCAATAAGGTAAATCTTTCTATCTGTGTCACAAAGTATTTTTGGGTGATGTTTTGCAGTGCTAGAGCTGTTCAAAATAATAATCTGCATGTTTTATAGTTGTAATGCACTCTAATGGAAACCGAGGGTATTAGTGCCAAACTAATCTGGCAGCAATATAAACACACACATTAAAACATCAGACATGCAGAATATTTTTCTTGTGTATACAGGACCATTGAAATACTCAGACATATGTGTACATTACATAGTATTTTTTAGTGTTGCATTTTTATTTAAGAAATATTTACGTGTGTGTGTGTGTATATATATATATATATATACAGTATATATATAAACACATACTTTTATTTTGGATGGAATTAATCGCAATTAATCGATTTGACAGCCCTAGTTTGGAATAATTAAGATTTTTTAAAAGTTTTTGAAAGAAGTGTGTTATGCTCACCAACGCTACATTTATTTGATCAAAATAGTAATATTGTGAAATATTATTGCAATTTAAAATAACAGATTTTTTAAATAATATTTTGCAAAAAGTAATTTATTCCTGTGATGGCAAAGCTGAATTTTCAGCAGCCATAACTTTAGTCTTCAGTGCCACATTATCCGTCAGAAATCATTCTAAAATGCTGATTTAGTGTTAAAGAATTGTTATTGTTATCACTGGTGAAAATGATTGTGCTGCCTAATATTTTTGTGGAAAACGTGATATATTATCATTCAAACAATTGGGGTAAGTAAAACTTCTAAGTAAAACGTAAATACTTCTATTCAGAAGTGAAATTGATCAAATTCATGAAATTGGCCAAAAGTGACAGTAAAGAAAATGTTACAAAAGATATATTTTTCCAATAAATGCTGTTCATTGAACAAAAAACAACAGCAAAAAAAAAAAAATTTTCAACAACAATAATAATAATAATAATTAATAATAATGTGAGTGCAAAGACTGTTGGAGTACTGCATATAAGCAACAAACACACATGTATTATCTGAAGTGTAAGACTGTGAGGGAAAGTTATTATTTAACTATTCAGATTTGTATTGTGTTCAGTGTTTGGTGCATTTCTCTACTTTAGACACAGTATGTGGTCATCCAAGAAATGCACCCATATGTGTATTAAATGTTTAAATTTAAAACCATAGGCACTAGTTGGCCTCTGCTGCTATAACAGCTTCCACTCATCTGTGAATAATTTCCCATCATGCCTGTGGGGATTCACTTTCACACAGAGCATCAGCAAGGTCAGGCACTGATGTTGGAATATGAGTTTTGACTTGCAGTTGCCATTTCAATTCACACCAAAGGTGTTCATTTGGGTTCATGTCTGGGTTTTATGCAAACCTGTTCTTCCACATCAGATTCAGTGAAGCATTTCTAAATGGGCCTTTCTTTGAACATAGGGGTACAGTCAGTGTCATGACAAAACAAGAAATATCCCAATTATACCTAAATTGCTTATATTGGGAGATTGTATGCCTGTATGCTTGATTTGAAGTACTTTTGACCAATGTTCAAAGCTGAAATAGCCAAACCTGTTTATTGGAATAGGGTGCTACATAATTTTTGCCATGTATGCACAGCATATACTTCAGTGATAAAATGATAAAAGCTCATGTGACCAACCTCACAAACCAAAAACTTTCAGGAAAGAGTTAGAATTGGGAATCTGTAGTGTGAACATAGTCATAGTGTTGTCTATGTGTTTTAAAGGGATAGTTCACCCAAAAATTAAAAACTATTCCAAACCCGTAAGACCTTCGTTCATCTTCGGAACACAAATTAAGATATTTTTAATGAAATCTGAGAGCTTTCTGACCCTGCATAGACAGCGACGCAACTGATACATTCAAGGCCCAGAAAGGTAGTAAGGACATCGTTAAAAAAGTTAATATTACATCAGTGATTCAGGGTCAGAAAGCTTTTGAATTTCATCAAAAATATCTTAATTTGTGTTCAGAAGATGAACAAAGGTCTTACGGGTTTGGAATGACATGAGGGTGAGTAATTAATGACAGAATTTTTATTTTTAGGTGAACTATCCCTTTAATTGTCTATGGAAATTGTAATCTTCTATATGAATGCAGGTATTACCCTAGCGGAGATGCTTTTGCAACTGGATCTGATGATGCTACGGTAAGTTTTTCTACATTACAACACACCAGTTACCCCATATGACTTCAAAACAATCAATTGGCTTCTCAAAGATAACAAAGGATTGACAGAAAGATTCACAATCAATAGTGTAAAACCTGTTACCCTGTGTCCACTGATTAATACTCCTCCTCCAAACACACCTACACACACACCCTCTTTAACCAGACTGAAATTAATGGCTTGATAATTGGTTAATTATACACAATGATCTTTTGATGATTTGATGATATTTTAATAATGTTGATCAAATTAGGTTAAGAGATACTCCGTTGACTGATTATGTGCAAGAGTGTATTAGAATAGATGTTTGTGTATTTAGGAGTTAGTAAGTCTGCTGTTGTTATATTCCAGGTCAAGGTCCATGCAATGTGTCCTTGTTTTCAAATCAGATCATGTCACCTGTTAGTCAGCCAATGATCGCTGAGACTCGATGAATGAGACTCTGTAAGTTCACACTGATCTCACTGTGAACTTTTGTGTTGTTTCAGTGTCGCCTGTATGACCTGCGAGCTGACCGCGAGGTTGCCATCTACTCCAAAGAGAGTATCATATTTGGAGCCTCTAGTGTGGACTTTTCCCTCAGTGGTAAGAAAGTGGACACAGGCCCTTAAAGCAGAGTGTTCACCTAAAAATAAAAATGTATATGAATAAATGTAATAATTTATCAAAAATCATTCATTCACCTTCATGCCATTCCAATTATCTTTGTTTTTCACTGAACACAAAAGGAGAATGCCCCAGGTGTTCTTTTTCATATTTTGAAACTGAATGAGGACTGTACCATAAAAGCACCAGCCACAAAATATCATAAATTTGCTCCATATGCTCAATATGTCTGCTATATTTCAAGCATGTATGACATCTTTGTTTGACAACAGACCAAAATTTAAGCTTACAATTTATTTTGATGGTCCCCTTTAGACATTCTGTTGACTGTAAGTACCTTTAAATCTACATGTCAACTAACTCGCATTATAGTATTAGTAGGGTATTAGACTCTTAGGGTTACTAGAATAAGCTGACGTGTACTTGCAAAGTTACTTATGGTCAACAGAGTGTATAAAGGGACCATCAAAATAAAGTGTTACCAAATGTACTCATTATTCACTGCAAATCTTTACATCAGCTGCTCAACATCAACATCAATTTACATCAACTCTCAAGTCTCAACTGAGTGAGTGTACCTTCAAATATGACATATTATAAGGATAGTTGACCCAAAAATCTAAATGTTGTCATAATTTACTCAACCCCATGTTGTTCCAAGCTTGTATTAATTTCTTTCTTTCTGTGGAACACAAAAGAATATGAAAATTCAATGAAAGTTAATGGGGTCTCTTGTTGTTTTGGACCCCACTGACTTTTCATTGTATAGGCAAAAACAGCTGAAACATTCTTCAAAATATCTGTTCCACAGAAAAAGGAAAGTCATACAGGAAGTTATACATGGTAAACTATCCCTTCAAAAACCTGTCATGCCAGATTTGA